AGGATAACCCACTGAAGTGATCAATTAATTTGGGTTAATTGGGTATTTAAATAAGTCATGGGGTTATATGTGCAGATACCAGGTTGTAATTGTGATTTGTTGAGGGGCCAAATTGTAAATGTACAATACCTATAAATAAGGGGTTATGGTCCCTAATCTAGGGTTACATTCTCTAATTCTCTTCACCCCCATCTAGAGAGAAATTCGGCTAGAGAGAACCCTAAGGTTAGAAGATCAAAACCCATCTCAAGTTTAAGCAATGGATTCAGGTATAAGCTTCCGCTCCTTTATGATTCTTGTTAATCTCTTTGAATTAATCAATGGCTATATGGTTTTAGATCTCAAGTATTGATTAAGATCTAACATTTGGATACAAGGTAATTCTAAGCATGCGGAATTCCAAACGTTGCGGGAAGCTATTACATTTTCTATTGACAATGGATGTGGGAAAGTAATTTTTAAAGAAGATGCAGATGTAGTGATTAGAAGTGTCCATAATGGTGGAAGCAACATTTTTTTGGACATTTTGTGGATGATATTCAGCGATGTTTGCACTTGACTCGAGTAATGAGATTTTTAGGTAGTTTGTCAAAAGGAGAATATAAAGGCTCATGTGTTGGTCCGAAGAGCTAAGGAAATTAATGATTTTTTGGTATGGCTCGAAGACCAATCATCATTTTTATATAATGTTTTGCAGTCTGATAAGGAGCAGCATTAATCCATATTCTTTGCTATGCAACTTATGGTTTTTAGTTTAGTTTGGATGTGTCTTAATTTTTTAATGAAAAAACTATTGCAATGATCCTAGCTAATATAGTAACTTGTGACATCTCCCCTTATAAACCTACTAATAATGCATGTAATATAAATTTTATTGAGAAAATAAACCCATAATTAAAGCATTCATGTATATTCTCTTACTGACTAATCAAATTCTCTTTTATGCACTAATTATTGCATGGCTAACCTACTTCATAAACATTCCACTTGGATCTCAAGAGTTTCATAAAATTATGCTATATATGGATGCCCAAATGCACAAAAAGGAAACACCAAAAGAATCAAAAGAAAAAAATGAAGGAAGTGAGAATTTTGATAGCAGAGTCAATCCCTTAACTATAGTAATCAGGATACCTCGCAGTCAACAAGATTTCACAGGCGATAATTGAGAAAGAAAATTTTATTGCTTTTCTTTGAAGGAAACGAACAGATCTACAACCGATTTCACCTCCAATTTACGAAAAAACATCAATCTATTAGTTATACAATTATGCAAATTCATGGAGAGAAAAACTAATATAAATGTTAATAAATTCATTGCAAGTGGGTGGTTAGGGGCTCTGTTTGAGTCCTCTTTATTGTTAAAAAAAAAGGCATAGTGAATGTAATGTTAGATGACCTTAGAATGTTTAATATGCATCACGTGTAAAGCACGTGTTACATACTAATATATCGAAAAATGAGATTAACTAAAAGTACCAATATGATAATTTAGCTTTTTTTAATTCATCACTGTTGGCCTACATAAATACAAGGCAAAATTGCACTTAAATACCCTATTATTTCTTGAAAAACAAAAAAAAGTACAAATTGCTACCTTTTGTCAACCATCTATGAGAATATTCTCAAAATATTCTCACGTGCTGCCTCATGTGACTATTTGAAGTGTCAACCACGCTTTGTTATTGTCTCGTTTTCAACTCTACCAACCTCTCTGTCCATTTTAAATATTATTTCTCCCCTTCTTCATTTTTTTCATCTTCCTCCTCTTTAATTCTCAAGCTTTCTACTCTTAAATGCAACTATGTGGGAGTATTATTAAAAGTTTTTATTCTAGAAATTACCCACGCAAATTAGGTGCTCATGTTGCTTCTAAAATTTGAGAAGATGTATATGAACAAGAAACAAAATTCTAAAGTGGCGGGTCAAAGTGTCTCAATGAAGTAGATTATGTAGTTAGAGGTTTTTTTTTTAAATTATATACCAAACACATAGGCTCCTAAACCTCCAAAATATGATTATTTTTCCTCAAATTGAAACCCGAGAGTTAGGACCATCTGTTGCTGCTTGTCAACCTTACATTAGCCTTCTCTCGCTCATCCATGAGGGTTAGAGCCAAGTAGTAGAGACATAAAACCCTAGTTCCCCCTTCTAGGAGAGAGAGAGAGAGAGAGAGAGAGAGAGAGAGAGAGAGAGAGAGAGAGTTTGATGAAACTTAATGGTAATAATATTTTTATGAAACCTGGTGGTAGTGGTAAATTTTAGGTTTTTTATAGTGGATTTGGTATTTCTATCTTTTTAAGTTAAATTTAATGTTGTTAAGCATAGGGTGCACTCGGTCCGGATACGGCTCGGATATGATGCTTACCATATCCATATCCGCTTACCCATCTCGGGTACGGATACAGATACATATATACCTCGGTAAGGAAAATTCATAACCATACCCGCTAAAATCGGATACAGTTACGTATATACATGCGGATATATGAGCGGATATGCATACAGATACAAAACGGATATGAGAAAACTAGATAGCATGGAGAAAAACACAATTCATGCGATACAAAAGAGTTCGTTAATATGTTCATTATAATTGAAAAGTTGAAATTAAACATATTGATCATCAAAATTAATCACAAATCCATAATCTAAGAATCGAAACTATCGTAAGAGTATGACTAATATGTCTTCAGAGTATAACTAATATGTATTCAGATATTTCAGATACGGATACGAGTATTTCACTACAAAACCATATCCGTAACCATATACTATCGGTTATTGATTTGGGTAACAATATCCGTATCATAACGGATACGGTTAGGGATATTTCCCCCGATACGGATACGGTTTGCATCCCTAGTTAAGCATATTTACACAACAAATAACTTGGGGTAGTTTTTTTGCTCGATTATAAAATGTAGGATACATAAATACTTTTTTGGAAAAGAATGGAGGTACTTAGGTGCAATTTGCCAAAAAAAAATAAAAACAACTGGCACCGAATGAACGAGCGAGAAGCAGATGTCCTCAACGAACGCGCCACTGGCTCAGGCTGGCCCATGTGCATTAAATATATTTTAAAATTCCACAAAATCTTAGCTCCTTCTCTGCAAACATCCCAAGACAGCAACTGTTCAAATCTCATATCTGTCACAATCGCCAATGGGTTATGCGGCCCACATTCCTGGCCCATCTCGGCCCGCTTACGGTGCAGAAGGCTACCCTCGTGGATGCAACCGACCAATAAGATTTAGACACGCGTATCCGGTGGGGGCGTCCTTAACTCAGGCACGTGCGACCTACTGCCACCGTTTCGCCGGGGCCCACTTAATTTGGCCTGACACAAGGGATAATTGGCTTTTGACTCTCCCTTGAATAAAGTTACCGTTGTGAAAAGTTTCCATTACAGTCCTTCGTACTCTCTCCTTTGCAAACATACGACTTTTAAAAGTTCCTTAAATAAATCATTGCAAAATTTGCATGTACAATTGGTCGCATCAAACATTTACAACCGTTGATCATGTATGACAATATCATAATTAAGGCTATTTACTTAGTTTGATGTTATAGAAGTATCATTAGTACGAGAACCTAGGTAAAGAACTAAAATCATCATTATTATAAAATTTCTTTCAAATACAATTTGATATTTCATGAGAACCTAGGTCGTCTAATAATTGTACAAGCTTCACCTTTGTCGCTTAAAATCTATTTTATGACCATATTGCATAAAAGCAGAAAAATGAACAAGTACGGTACGGTAGTTCATCATGCTGAATAAATCAGTAAGGGACATACGAATAGAGAGGTATTATGTTGTCGCATCCAAGGAAATTTATTATTCTATCTCTTAAAAACCCGTTTTGCTTAAGGGTCTGTTTGGTTATTTCCTAAAAAACTAAGAAATAGAAATAAAAACCAAGAAAATTCAAAAAGTACAATTTCATCCATTTCCATCCCTAAAACACACCCACAACATCTAATAAAATATTATTTTTATCCAACAACTCATCTACCACATCTAATAAAATATTATTTTCATCTAACAACTCATTCACCACATCCACCATATCTAATAAAATATTATTTTCATCCAACAACTCATCCACCACATCTAATAAAATTTTATTTTCATTCACAACATCACTCAACTCATTATTTCAAATCACTCACATCATCCACTAAGATGGTGACAACTCATCTCATCTTATTAACATTTCATTTCCACTCATTTCCTCTCAAAAAGTTAGGAAAATAATTTTCTTAAGTGTGGGTCATATCATCCAATAATATAATGACAACTCATCTCATCTCATCTATTTTCTTATTTTTAAGAATGAACCAAACAAAAGAAAACAACCTATTACAAGAAATAGGTTTCTTATAATTCATTTCCTTATTTTTTTTCGCCAACCAAACAACATCAAAACAAGTTTTCTTAAAAAATCACTCACATCATCCTATAATAATGTGACAACTAATCTCATCTCATCTTCATTTCTTTGATTCCCTTTTTTTTTTGCAAACCAAACACTCCCAAAACAATTCTTCTTAGAAATAGTTTTTCATTTCTTTGATTTCCCACTTTTTTTTAGGCAAACAAACAGACCCTAAATAACAACTCACCTTCAGGCATCTGTGGCGTAACCTAAATGATAATAATTTAGTTTCCAACACAATCAATGAATTATTAAGGAAGAACGTGCAAAGAAAAAAAGAAGAGAGAATTAATATGCAAATACCCCATGTCTAGATAGACCCCTACTAATAGTGGCACATCCGTAAATTTTCACCTAACGTCAGTCCCGTTCAATTTCCGACCCCACCTCTCTCCCTCTTCTTCCTCCTCCTCCTGAGATCAGGGTACTGACTACTGAGCTGCAGCAGCGGACGCGAAATTGCCGCTGTTTCCTCTGTTTCTTAAAAAAAAAAAAAAAAAAAAAAAAAAAAAAAAAAAAAAAAAAAAGCAATATTGCCGCTGTTTCCTCTGTTTCTTAAAAAAAAAAAAAAAAAAAAGAAGAAGAAGAAGAAAAGAAAAAAGAAAAGAAGAGAAAACCTAGCCCTAACCCTAACCTTAAATGGACTACGAAAGGATTCTGAAGCCCTCGCCTCAGGTGATCAAGATCTATTTTTAATCCCATTTTCGAGAAATTCACCAGAATCTCACCACATTGCACTCAATCTCTCTCTCTCTCTCTCTCTCTCTCTCTCTCTCTCTCTCAGGGCGGCGGGTTCTCCCCTCGCAAGCTCAGGGCCATGCTGTTAGGCGTCGAGAAGAAGAGGAAAGAAGAAGTAGAAGAGGACGATGAAGATGGATTAGACCCAGGTAAGGTAACCTTTAACCCTAAAATCTGTGATAAAAATTCGAATGTTGACTAGAGTTTGACTTAATTTGAGTAGGTGGGAGCTCTGCTGATGAGTTCAGGGATGTGAACATGGTGAGCTCGGTTCAGAACCACAATGTAGCCATTCCTAGGGCTAGATCTCTCGAGGACGATGCTCTAGGGTTTGAGTTTCATAAGGCACGGTCGTCGATGATGCCTGGGTTCTCGAAACCGGCGCCCTCGAAGTGGGACGACGCGCAGAAGTGGATTGCCAGCCCAAACTCGAATAGGGTTGTCAAAGGGAAGAAGAGTGGGAGGCAGAGTGTGACTAAGGTTGTGATGGAGGTTAAGGAGGATGTGGATGGTAAAAGAGTTGATGGGAGTGAGATTAAGAGGGAGATTGGAGAGATTAAAGGGGGTGATTGGGAGAGTGAGGTTTGTCATCCGGGAGTGGATTCGTGTGCTAAGATGCCGATGATTGTGGAGAGTTCTATTTCTAAGTCTGCTGCAGGTACAAAAAAAATGCTAGTGTTCTGTATGTTTTAATTGTGAACTTAGATATTTTAGATAGTTTTGGTTTGCATATGCTTATTCGTGTTCACAATATTATCGTTGAAGTCGATGTAGAATAAGAGTAAAAAACAAGACATTGATCTTTTCTTTTGTTTGGCTGAATTTAGATTGTATTTCCATTTAGTTCATTGGCTTACTAGTGCCCTAATGTTGAATGTGATTGTCTATATAAATTTTTGTCATCATCTCTCTTTTGAGTCTTTACTCCTCACATCTGAGTGGATTCAATCTTTGTTTGAGTATTATTGCGGCGTGTAATAATATCTTGTCAGTTCACTGTTGTTCCTATGCCAGAATTAGCCGAGTCTATAATCTGACTCAAATTGGCCATCTGTCCACAAATTGGCCATCAAGGTTGTTATGGCCAATGTTTAAAAAAAGTGGAAGCACAAAGAGTAACGTCAAACCCCTTTCTAAAGTAAGGCATAAGCTTTAAAGCGTGAGGTGTAAGCCTCATCAATTAAGTATTATTAATTTTAAAATTTATAAATATTAAAAGCATATAATATATAGTTGTATATTAATATACAATTAGATACATTCATTCCCTAATTAGTAAAATAAGACTTAAACATGTAAAGTATAGATATGCAAATCACAATAATCTAAGCTACATAAATTAAATAGCTCTTATTTATAGTCACATGGTCATACTGGAGATACACAGGAGAATTTTAATTTTAGTCAACAAACCTTTTATATCCTCCTATCTTATTTAAAGCGTGCACTTCAAAAGAGAAGCGCTTTATGGTGCACGAAGCACACACTTTCGTTATGCTTTAAGCAATAAGGCGTACTCTTCAAGGGATAAATAGGTTCTCTTTTGAGCTTTGAAGCGATTATTGTTCAAAAAGTTTTCAAGCAAATTTCAAAAAGTTTTTTCAAACATTGGTTATGGAAGCGCTCCCACTTGCTTATTGCTTTCATGGCCAGAAACTTCAACACCTATCCTTACTTACGGCTGACATTTGGTCACAATCCAGTTATAGACCATTTGCCTATTGCTTTTTGAGTTTGTCAACTTGCGTCATGCTTTCAGCTGACTGCATTTTCATGAGAAAAGGTTCAGATGATGATGATAATTGTTTATTGTCTTTTTGTTTGTTAATTTTATGCAGGTTTTAACTTGAGCTATACTAGCAGACACTCTAAAAAATTTATAATAATGCTGTTTTTGCATTGGATATAAGTTCAGATTCTGCTAAATTTGCACTAAGTCGTAGTAAGAAGTAACTATTCGTTTATGTTTCACTTAAGAGCTAAAACCTTGACCTGATTGAGCACCAGACAATACTCTGATTCTTTAATAAGCTCATATAAGAAGTAACTGTTGAAAAATTAAACTAGTTGTAATTGAACTACTTTCTTTGGATATTATATTTCTTCTCGAATCCTATTACTAGAACTGTATAGATAGTGGATAAGTTTAATTGCTGAAAGCATTATTCTGTTAGGAAATAAGTAAGGAAAACACATCTTGAAATATATTAATTTTGTTCTTAGCAACTTCATTCCATTCTCATTCAGAATTCTACATTATCATAGTTGTTTAAAGTTTCTTATGTATATTTTATTTGATGCAGTTAACCTTAGTCGGCATGGTACATCTACAACAGCTCAAACTTCCACAACATTTGTAGATCCCCCATCAACAGTTAGGTCTGTCTCGATGAGAGATATGGGCACAGAAATGACACCTATTGCTAGTCAAGAACCATCTAGGACAGGAACTCCTATAAGAGCATCAACACCAATACGCAGTCCATCTTCATCTCGACCAACAACACCACGAAGAACTGCCTCTAGTTCAGTTCGTATCGAGTCAGCTAATTTTCATGTAGCTAAAGAAAGGGAGTTATCTGAAAAGGAGTTGCAGATCAAAACTAGAAGAGAGATAATGATGCTTGGTACACAACTAGGAAAGGCAAACATTGCTGCATGGGCAAGCAAGGAGGAAGAGAGAAATGCACCCTCGTCATTGGTGCCAATAGACCAACCAGTTAAAGATGTTATTCAAAGCTGTGCAGCGGCCTGGGAGGAGGCAGAAAAAGCAAAATACCTAGCCAGGTAACTTCACTGACTTATTCTGCACATTTAAACCGACTATTCCATTTTTAATCATGTTCTATTAGTATGCTCTAAGAATTCATATGAACCTAATTTAGGATATTGATGAGTTTTCAGGTTTAAAGAAGAAGAGATAAAAATCCAAGCATGGGAAAATCATCAGAAAGCAAGAAGTGAAGCTGAAATGAGGAGAATTGAGGTACTTTGAGACTTACAAAAACTAGTGATACTTTACTGACGTTTTACCTGCCTATTAAGGAACATTGAGGAAGTGTGACATCAACTTTAATAATATATGGACATCTTATATCTAATTGATGCCTTAGTTGTTAGTTAGTACAGAATTCTAATTGTGCTCATCATTAAACTAATTGCGAACAGCCCCCCTTAGTATCATTGTGAATAGACCCGTGTAGTTCTATTTGTTGTGAATAGATCCCCTGTAATTCTATTTGTTGCGAATAGAACCCCAGAGTGAATTTTTTTAATAGAACCCCATAGTGAATTTTTTTACTCTTAAAATTGTTTAAAATGTTTAAGGGGGCGGATAGATTCCCTATAGCTCTATCGGCAAGGATAAACATGCAATTGCTATTTATATTTTTAAAAGAATAGAAAAATTCACTAAGGGGGTGTATTGGCACTTGGGGCCAAGACTATAGGGGGCCAAGACTACAGGGGGCCTATTCGCAACAAATAGAACTACAGGAGGTCTTTTTGCAAAAAAGAACCACATGGGTCTATTTGCTATTAGGTGATACTATAGGGGGTCTATTCGCAATTTACACTTAAACTTATATATAGCTCTCATTCATATTTCATTGGAAATATATTCAAAGATACATTGTCTACATAAAGTGCAATACATTGTTGATATGCACGTGACATATTATATTTGGTTTAGGCTATTGGGTTCTAAATTTGGGAAGCTTTAGTTCAATCCTAGGGGGGTGGGGGTTATTCATTTGGGTACTTTGGGGCAAATTGGGTTAATTGTCCCAATGAGATAATTTTACCCAATGGGATAATTTGAGTGAGTTAAATTAAGGATAAAATGAGGTCAAATGGGATAATTGGACAATTTGAGTGGGACAATTGGTATGACATCTTTTTATAATATGATATTTTTATAGATAAATTAAGTTCAAGTTTAACTTGCTATTACATCAAATCATGAATAAATAATAATAATAATAATAATATATAATAATATTAATTTTAAGATTATTTTAATATAAAATAATAATAATATAATATTAATAATATTAATATTAATCAATATTTGAATATTTTGATGTTTATTTTAACTATTATGCTATATTAACAAGATTTTAAATTGTAATAATTATTTAATCATTCCTACATTTATTACAATGATGATGATAAAGCCTCAATTATTACAAATAAAGTCTTAGTCATTAACTTAAATCTTAATTATCATAAATATAATCTACCGACATATAACTTTGCTCTAGACTCCTTGGGCTACGTTTATCCCATCCTCCCACATTGTGTTTGCCATTTGTTCTCTCCAACATGATGTAGCTGTTCGCTGTGCTTGTTAAGTTTGTAGGTCATCGTCCTCATCAGAATCACCATCAATCGGATCAACATTGTGTGGTGCCTCTAGAGGAAGATCGGAAACTTCAAAGTCATCGTTAGAGTTCTCCATCTTTAAAAAATTATGCAGACCGATACATGCTCAGATCATACTTTTTTGAGTCTGATATGGAAAACTTGGAGGTTAAGACTTAAAAATAGTAAACCTAGACTTGAAAACTCTAAAGATACGTTCAATACAATTTCTAAGAGATGCATGTCGATGGTTGAATAACTCATGAGCATTGCGTGGTCGCTGATGGTTGTTAGCTGGGCCAAACTCTTTAATGTGATACCTCGTACCTCGATACGGAGCCAATAATTATAGCTTATTTGGGTAACCATAATCAACTAGATAAAATTTACTTGCATTAACATTTTTTAGAATTGTAATCAATAAATATAAAATCTAACAATTTGATAAAAAAATATTTACCATTTGGGCATGAAAGACTGCATGCATTTCTACTCATTGCATCCTTCAAGACCTGTGAATCATTGGCAGATCCCTCCCATCCCATTAAGACATAAAGAAACCTAAGATCAAATGTGTGTGCCGCAAGGATATTTTAAGAAAGATAGCTATGTCTATTACGATATGGGGTTTGGTCCTCGTCATACACCATACATGGAATGTGGGTCCCGTCAATAAAACCGATATAGTCCTATATATTCCCATTAACATATATGAAACATGACTTTAAAATTATAATAATAATGAATGAAGATTTATATAGTATATTTAAATTTCATTACTTTGAAATAAGGCCAAAAACGAGATTCGGATGTGACATTTTCTGATGGATCGGTAGGAGGAGGAGCCATTATACAAGGGGCTAATGACATAAGGGCCTGGAGTGCCTTATTGAAACAGACGCTGACTGCAAATCAGGATCGATCAAACCTCTCAATGGTGATGCAATATCGTTGATTTGAAGTAACAGTGAGAAGGAAAATAGCAACCATCTCCTCAACGCTGATATACTGTGTATCTTGTAAATGCCAATGTTCTCGCAAGACCATTTACAATTTTATGAAGCAATCTGGATACTGGATACATACGATATACTCGACGAAAATCACATGGATTGCTCTCCATCTTAGATTTCAAATATTATAGGCCAATGTCCGTAACGCTATATCTGAGTTGGGAGATGCGTAGATTTAACTCCTCTTGTGATATGAGGTGCGAGTTACTCGTAACTAGACCTCCTATTATTACAGCCATGTTGATAATGCGAATGAGGAGATAATCAACAGTATCCTCGTGAAATAGCAAAATAGAGATATTCTGATTATCTTCCATCCAGTATTAATCATGAAATCAAAACATAGTTAGATTTTCACTACAAGATCTAATAGTTAGATTTAAATTCAATTTGGTAATAGTACAAGGCTGTCTATCTACTATTTTTACTACAAGATATTCACCAATTACTTTCACTGCTATTTTAATCACAGAAGGTAATGTTGTTTAACAACAACAAACGAATACTCGACAAGTTATATTGTTAATTAGAAAAAGGAAAATTTTATAATTAAGGAAAAATAAACAATTCACAGGTACTATAATGAGGGATTCAATTGACAGGACCAACAATATTCTTAATTTAATAATGTGTTTCCAGGTGTTTGAAATAGGTCCACATTTTAAAGCAATTTACTCTTGATTTGATAATGTGTTTTCAGCTTTCTAATATATAATTACATCAATGATGTTATGAAGACCATCAGAATAAAAATATTTCATATGCACTGAGAATTAGAACCAAAATATAAGCAACGAACATTCAAACGAAAGACAAGGATGACAGTAACAACTCAGTCAATAATCTCAACAATCGAATCATATAAGTTCCATATTAGAAACCAGACCTACTAGCATATAAGTTCCATGTTAGAAAGTTGAACTCTGAAAATTCCAGAACACTAAGAATTAGAACCAAAACTACTATCTAGATGAAAATGAAATGTATCTGATCAAGTTAAGAGTAAAATAGTAGAAAAACATATAATCATCCTTTGAGCTCACAAAGATAAATTGCCATTCAAAGCATCCATGTGCTTAACATACATATATATGTACAACAATGATATTTAAAACCATGTAGTCATCAAAGCATCCATGTGCTTAACATAAAAGTCCAAAAGCATATAACTAACAACATCTATGTTCCCAAAAATACAACTCCATAAGAGTAGTCATTAAACTACAGTCCACAAGCATAGTCATTAATAAGCATAGTAATTGTCGTCATTTGGAAAAACTCCAGTTAGTCGCCAAATCATAAACCTTCTCCTTTGACCATCATTCATCTTCACAAACATATCCTTCACGTCTTGGGAAATATTTTGACTAAGGACAGTCAATCGTTGTTCATCAGTAAATTCTGAAATTGAAGCCACTCCCTCGACTCACGGTTGGTTGCGGCTTCGCAACAACCTTACCTCTGTGACTAACTCTTGTAAAGCCTTACTTATAATTGTAATTTCACTCGTCATTTTTTGCATGGCGGGTTGAGACAATGCAGAGGCGGTGGTGCGGGAAGGTGCTCTACGAACATTTCTGCTAGTGCTAGAGGTTGATAGGTCGATGGTACAGATTCAGCCACGGGAGTGACATGACCTGGAGTGCTACTAGGGGAGGTGGTAGAGGATCTATTGGTGGTTGGGTAGATTCTTCTTCACCCATAGCATCAAGTTCAATTTTATCATCAAATATACCCTCATCCAATGTATTATGTAATGGTGCACTTTCTACACCCTTACTTCCTAAGCCTCCAGCAGCTCTCCTACTAACTGAGTGGTTACCACCATCTGCATATCCTCAAAATTTTTAAACAACTTATCTTTAAACATTGGTGTATTAGGATGAGTCTGTCAAAAAAATAACAAATTAATTTTCTTTTTTTTAATTAGCAAACATAACAAGATATTATGTAGTTAGGAATTTTGGGTTATTAACAATCTAATCTGCTTGTAATTTTCCCACACCTCAACAGAACAAGTAATTCTTTGAGATATTAGGTCCCAACCAAACCCGGAAATTGTTCCTCAGTAGTAATTCAATTGGTTCAATCTTCCTCTTCCAACTTTTGATCTTATTCTTTATATGATCAAATTTAAAAGTTCTTCCAAATTTAGCATTCATGAATGCCAACACATTTTGAGTGATGGTATATTTCTTGAAGTTGCCATTATCCATCTTGTTGCCATTCTTCACCTCCTCCACTAAAAGCCTTAGTAGCTCTATTATCTTGTTCTGATCATATTATATAGTCACACCTCGCTTTTTTGGCCATCTCACCATCTTGAGAGCATTCTTCCACATTTTGAGTTTTCGAAGCAAAATTCATCCTACAACGCAAATATCAATAATGACCAAAATGCACTCGCTAAGACTATAGTTTTATGTAGTATGTACATGTAAGAGTTCAAATATAGCTTAAAGAAACTTCAATTATATAATGAAGTCTTAGTCATGAAACTAAAATCTTAATTATAACAAATATAATCTAATAGCTAACAAACTTTGATCTAGAATCTAATGGCTAACAAATAAAATCTTAATTATCACAATTTCGCAAGTTTTTCAATCAA